CATTCAATTTAAAAATAAGACACCATCATAAAACAAAGGAAATTGAGGTTTGTTTATATATTCTAAGCATATTTTATGGGCCAGACTTTCCAACCACCCTTCATCAGTCCCTAAAGTAACCTTGATATTCATATGGTTTTAAAAATGTACAGTAATAATTGAGTTTTGTAACAACAAAAGAAAATGCAGTGTCTTGTATAAAAAGTCTGGTACCACCCAGTGGGCCACCCGCCACCTACTGCAGGGCTGAGATAACAGATTTACTTCACCCATATGAAAACACCGAAACATAAGGTTGGGAGCAAGTACCCACCCACCCACCCCCACCCCCCCACCGAAACCACCCTTCATTCCTCTCCTAAATTGTGTGTCTGTGCCACCTTATATTTGTTTATATTTCCAATGGCTTGTAAAAGACGTGCAATCTAGTACAGGGGTGATAACTGTTGAATTTCTATAAGGAATGTGATGCTATAGGTTTTTAGAAGTCATAAACTTGATAAATCAAAGGAATTTTTTGTGTGTGTACATTTCATAATAACATAAATGAGACAACAAAACTTCATTTTCAATGTTCATTTTTTACTTGCGTACAATAACATTGTTCAACTTACGAGAATCTCATGCTAAGCTTCCATCTTGCTTCCTTCAGTTTCAATTTCTGGAAAAAGCACTTTTTTTTTCCTTACTGAAAATTTTGCTGGTTTAAGTTAATGGAACTTTGGCAGGTTGACACAACTAGCATTTTATTATATTATTATAATTATATTATGTTGTCCATGGCCCCCCCCCCCCCAAAAAATCTGGCATTAGTTCAATATTTCAAATGATCTCTTCCACACTTTAATTTTACTAATTGTTATTTATTATGTCCCATGCGCTATAAGAACTGCTGTGCAGGTTTTTAAATCCAAAAAAATTCTGATACATACTTGAAACATTCCAACCAACCCTGATGAAAAAGATTTTTTAAAAAAACCCATTTAAAATCAATGTGAAATAAATTTGTTCAATAAACTTGCTCGGCAGTCGTAGTTTCAGATGGCTTTATATAATGTTCATAAAGTGTTTATCAAAAGTATTTCTCTTCCTGCATTAAACTGGCATTGTAAATCATTCTTTAAAAAAATTAATTTCCTTTTTTTAAAACTTCTATTGGTGAGTTGTTTATGTAACCCATGGTTTGATCATGGTCAAAGTGTTTTTTTTAAATGTCATTTTGTTCATAATTAGTTCACTGCCCCTCTTTCCTGTATCTCGATATTATTCTCCTACCTTTGATAATTGTGTATGGATTAATTATAAATTATTCAATCAAAATTTTGAGACTTCTGAATAGAAATATTTATAACATAAACTTTTTCAATTTTTGTGTGGAAAATCAGTATGTTCCTTGGGTGTTTGGAATTTTTAGGAACCTAAATATGTTCACTCGCCTACAGTTTGTCATTTCAGAGGTAATTTGGTTCTGCATTTAAATGTATAAATTATAAAATAATTGATCAGAATTATTTTGCTCTTTACTTTTTGTGTTGAACAATAAAACTGTTGTGATTAGTTCCCATGTTTTCTTCTCGTTGAGTATATGAATATGAGTGTATGGGCGGCTGATAAGGATTTCTCAACTTTATCGCAAGAGTACTTGATTGCAACATTATACGATAGGATTATTTTATTGATCCAAAAAACTGGCGTAGCTAGTCTAGGGTTAGATCCACCCGGGGTGGGTCAAGATTTTTGCCGCCCCATTCCACGAAAAAAATGTATGTAGTTACCCGAAAATGTCGCCCATCCATAATATAAGTATAAAGAAAAAATACACCCCTCTACAGGGCCGGCCTTAGGCCACTGCAGTGGGCCCCACACTTTATTTTCTAATACAAAATCTTAATTTTCACTTATTATCCTTATCCCTACCCAGACTGGGCCCCGCACAAACCGTTTCGCATCGGGCCCCGCAATTGTTAGGGCCGGCCCTGCCCCCTACCTATGACATTTCATCAGAGGGACCCACATTTTATCATAGGGTCCTCATTTCATTAAAGTTTAATACAAAATTTAATAACATATTTGATAATGTCAGGGGGCCTAAGTGTCTTTGTGTTTCTTTGTTTTTTTTTTTTTGTTGTTGTCAAAGTGTTCTGACTCCCCCTTCCCGCCGGGGGGGGGGGGGGAGAGCATAGGTAGCAGACGCCCTCTAATACGGTTTACATGTTTTTCTGCAGTGTGACTAAATCACACCACAGCTGGGAAAGAAAAGAGGTTGCCCAGGAGCAGTACCCTCAAAGACTGCATATTTAGAATCATCGGTGAGGTTCGCCACGTTCCCTCACATTGGCGCACTAGATGACTCTAAACACATTTGTATGCAATTTGACTTATCTTGATAATTGAAATCAGGGATGGAAAAAAAGAGGACGGCTTCTTTTACTTAACAATTTATATTTTTATAAACCTGTTTTAAGTGGTAGAATAATTGGTGGTAAATTTATTATTCACCCTTAGAGGATGTGGCGCCTAGTTGGATTACAATACATTTAAATTCTAGGAATTATTTCTTTTAACCTGTGGGGAGAAAATAACAGTGTTCGTGTGTGTGTGTGTGTGGGGGGGCTGTGGGGAGAAAATAACAGTGTTCGTGTGTGTGTGTGTGTGGGGGGGGGGGGAGGAGGTTATTACAAAGGAGTCCTGTATTAATTAAATGGAGGTCTTAATTAAGATGAGATGATTTCATGACACACTTCCCAAAATAAATGGTTTGTATGTCAACTGACACTTGTATGAGGACAAGTGTATGCTTTGTGTACGAGTCTGGTTGGAAGGTTGTGTGTAAGGGAGGTGATCGTTTGTATGCAAGTCATGTGACAGACTGTGGACATGTATTCCTGGTGTCTGAGGTCATCTGACAGACTGTGGACATGTATTCCTGGTGTCTGAGGTCATCTGACAGACTGTGGACATGTATTCCTGGTGTCAAAACCATTGATAATTTATGTAATTTTAATGATGTGATCATTCCCATGCTCCAGTCATTACGCTATGACATGGTACTCACCTGGGGGGTGGGGGGCATAAGAGGTTCTCACTTATACTAAGTGAACTAGCCAAATAAATAAATGGTACAAAAACTATGTTCATGAACATTACTGGTTGAAGTAAAGCTAAAAACGAAAAGGGGGGGGG